AAGCCATCCCCTGCCAGGCGTTGCTGTGGCCCAGTCTGGTTATCTGGAAAATAAAGTAATGAGAATGTGTTGGTTTCTAATATATTTAATTCCTTTCTGCTTGCGAGTAAACAGTATTTCTTGCTGTTTCTTTGTCAGTGTTGATGTGGAGAGTGTCTGGTTTGCCTACTCTGGAACATGCAACATATTATTGTCCTTCTTTAAGGGTCTCTTTCAAATCTATGATACTATATCTCCCTCTGTGTGTATCATATATATCTATCTATATCTATGGCTGGATGGTTCTTTGTCAGGAGGGCTTTGATTATGTTTTCTTGCCCTGGTGAAGGAAGTTGGACTAGATGGCCTTAAGTATTTTTTTGTTGGTCAAGGGGGTTCTGTGTGGGAAGTTTGCCCCAATTCTGTTATTGGTGGGGTTCAGAATACTCTTTGATTGTAGGTGAACTCTAAATCCCAGTAACTCCCAAATGTCAAGGTCTATTTCCCCCCAACTCCATCTGTGTTCATATTTGTGCATATGGAATATTCGTGCCAAATTTGGTCCAGATCCATCTTTGTTTTGAGTCCACAGTGCTCTCTGGATGTAGGTGAACTACAACTCCCAAACTCAAGGTCAATGCCCACCAAACTCTTCTAGTGTTTTCTGTTGGTCATGGTGGTCCTGTGTGCCACGTTTGGTTCAATTCCAACGTTGGTGGGGTTCAGAATGCTTTTTGATTGTAGGTGAACTATAAATCCCAGCAACTAGAACTCCCAAATGACAAAAAATACCCAGAAGTTTCTGGCTTGCAACCTGTGCTTGTAAAAAAAAAAAACCTCCTGGCAATCCCCATCCGTCTATTTCCAGGAAGGTCTAATGTTGGTGAGTTTTATATGAGTGTAATCTCCCCATCAGAAACTTCATCAAAGCAGAAGGATCTCTGTTGCTAAGAAGTTTCACATGACTCACAAAGTCATAAAAGCCGAAGTCGTGCTAATCATCAAGGATCTGTTTCCTGGTTGGAATTATGAAATGTATCAAATGGGATACGACATAGATTGATTTCCAACACAACGAGCGAATGCGGGAGAGGTCTTTTGGTATATACCAAGCATGGGCAAACTTGGGCCCTCCAGGTGTTTTGGACTCCAACTCCCACAATCCCTAACAGCCGGTAGGCTGTTAGGAATTGTGGGAGTTGAGTCCAAAACACCTGGAGGGCCCAAGTTTGCCCATGCCTGTTATACAATAAAAATACCACACAATGAAAGGAAGGAGAAATGAAGGGAAAAGGGAAGAAAGGAGGAATGGTGGGAGAAAGAAAAGGAAGAAGGGAAGGAAAGGGAGAAAGAAAGGAAGAAAAGGAAAGAAGGAAGGAGAAAAAAAGAAAAAGAAAAGGGGGAAGAAGGAAGAGGAAGAAGACAGAGAAGGAGGAGAGAGGAAGTATGGAAGAAAGGAAGGAAGAAAAAGGGGGAAGGAAGGAAGAAGAAATAAAGAAGAGAGGAAAGGAGGAGAGAAGTTAAAAGGGATGGAATGGGAGAAAGGAAGAAAGGAAAAAGAATAGGAGGGAGGAGGGAGGAAAGAAAGAAAGAAAGACAGACAGACATACAGAAAGAACAGAGGGAAGGGGGAGAAGAAAGGATGGAAGAAGGAAAGTGGGAGAAAGAAAGAAAGGGAAGGAAGGAAGAAGGAAGGAAGGAAGGAAGGAGAAGGAAGAGAGGAAGAAGAGGAGAAGAAGAAGAAGAAGAGAAGAAGGAGGAAGAAAGAAAGAAAAGAAGAGGAAAGAAGGAAGGAAAAAGGAAGGAAGAAGGAAGAAGGAAGAAGGAGAAAGGAGAAGGGGAAAAAAAAAAACAGAAAGAAGGAGGGAAGAAAGAAAAGAAAAAGAAAAGGAGCGAAAAGAAGGAAGGAAGAAGAGTAAGAAGGAGGAGAGGAGGAAGGATGGAAGAAAAGAAGGAAAAGAGGGAAGGAAGAAGAAATAAAGAAGAGAGGAAAAGAAGAGGAAGGAAAAAGGGTGGAAGGAGAGAAAGAAGAGGGAAAGGAAGAAAGGAAAAAGAAAGAAGGGAGGAGAGAAGAAAGAGAAAGAAAGAAAGAAAGAAAGAAAGAAAGAAAGAAAAGAAAGAAAGAAAGAAAGAGAGAGGGAAGGAGAAAGAAAGGAAGAAGGAAAGGGGAGAAAGAAAGAGAGGGAGGAAGGAAGGAAGGAAGGAAGGAAGGAAGGAAGGAAGGAAGGAAGGAAGGAGGGGGAGAAGAAGGGGAAGGAAGGAAGGAAGGGGAAGGGGAGAGGGGAAAGGGGAAAGGGGAAGGGAAGGGAAGGGGAGGAAAGGGAAGGAAGGGAAGGGGAAGGGGAAGGGGAAGGGGAAGGGGAAAGGAAGGAAGGAAGGAGAGGGGAGAAGGAGAAGGGGAATAAGAAGTAAAGAAGGAAGAACTGAAGGAAGAGAAAGAAAAAGAAGATAGGGAATAAGAAGGGAAGAAAGAAAGAAGGGAAGAAAAGAAGAGTGTCAAAAGAGAGGAAAAGAGGACGGGAGAAAGAAAGATGGATGGATGGATGGATGGATGGATGGATGGAAGGAAGGAAGGAAGGAAGGAAGGAAGGAAGGAAGGAGGGAAGGAAGGCTGGCTCTGTGGTTCTCTCTATTCTCTGCTCTGTGGGTGAGAAGGAGGGCATTTTGGAGGTGAATGATCCCAATGACAATGTGCATTGATTTGACAGCCTGCCAATCATCCTAAATGGCAAAAAGTCTATTTCAGGGGCAAGCAGCGTCTTCGGGAGAAAAAACCAGCCTGATTTTTAAAATAGGATTTGGAATATGAGTTATCTGCAAAGTTACGCTCATCTCGAAAGGATGAATTCGGCATTTTTCAATATTGCATCTTGGTGTTAAAATAGCATGGCAGGAATCAGGAAGCCCATAATAAAATATATGGCCAGATTGTAAAAATAAGATCTACGAATCGTTAAAATATTGTAACATTAGTTATTTAATTTTAAAAAATATATATGTTAATTGTTTAACTCTTTAAAAAAACTTGACCATAATTAATCATTATTAATTGCCATGCTATTAATCATGGCATGGGTCTTGAGCAAGTTTGCTATGGCTGTAAATCCCCTTTTAGGCACTTAACACCTGCCCAATTAATTAATTAATCCCTTCTCATTAGCATACCATGAATGAATTATCTCCCCCCTAACACTAATAGCTACTAACAATAAAAAACATTATCAATATTATATGTGTATAAAATAAATATTATATTATAATAATTATAATATTATTATAAATATTATATGTGTATACAACATATTATATTATTACAATATTATATGTGTATACAATATATTATATTATTATAATATAACATAATTATTATTATATAATATATATTATATAATATATTATCAATATTATATGTGTATACAATATATTATATTATTATAATATAATATAATTATTATTATATAATATATATTATATAATATATTATCAATATTATATGTGTATACAATATATTATATTATTATAATATAATATAATTATTATTATATAATATATATTATATAATATATTATCAATATTATATGTGTATACAATATATTATATTATTATAATATAATATAATTATTATTATATAATATATATTATAAAAATAATAATATATATTATAATATAATATTATAAATATTATATGTGTATACATCATATTATATTATTACAATATTATATGTGTGTAAAATATATTATATTATTATATTATAAATATTATTATATTTTAATCAATATTATATGTGTGTACAATATATTATATTATTATACTATAATAATATAATAATTATAATATTTTAAATAATATTATACATGTGTGCAATACATTATATTATTATATTATAATATTTTAATCAATATTATATGTGTGTACAATATATTATATTATTATATTATAATTATTATTATTATTATAATGTATTGTCGAAGGCTTTCATGGCCGGAATCACTGGGTTGTTGTAGGTTTTTCCGGGCTATATGGCCATGTTCTGAAGGCAATTTTTCTCCTGACATTTCGCCTGCATCTATGGCAAGCATCCTCAGAGGTAGTGAGCTCTGTTGGAAGTAGGAAAAAGGGTTTATATATCTGTGGAATAATGACCAGGGTGGGACAAAGGACTCTTGTCTGCTGGAGCTAGGTGTGAATGTTTCCACTGGCCACCTTGATTTGCATTTGATGGCCTGGCAGTGCCTGGGGCAATCTTTTGTTGAGAGGTGATTAGATGTCCCAGATTGTTTCCCACTCTAACAACCACCATGTCAGACTACACAGGGAAGCCACTGAAATCCACAAACATGTGGACAATTTCAACAGAAAGGAAGAAACCATGAAAATGAACAAAATCTGTCTACCAGTATTAATGGACTCAAAAATCACAACAGCAAAACAACAGAGGGGAAACAAACAGGCACATAAAATCACTCTCAACAAAAGACTCCCCCCGGGCACTTCCAAGCCATTGAATGCTAATCAAGGTGATCAGCTGAAACATTCACAGCTAGCTCCAGCAGACAAAAGTCCTTTGTCCCACCCTGGTCATTCCACAGATATATAAACCCACTTTTCCTAGTTCCAACAGACCTCACGACCTCTGAGGATGCTTGCCATAGATGCAGGCGAAATGTCAGGAGGGAATGCCTCTAGACCATGGCCATATAGCCCTGAAAAACCTACAACAACCCATTATTATAATATTTTAATTAACATTATATGTGTGTACAATATATTATATTGAAGCTCGTACAGCTACGAATCCCCTGGCAGTTAGAATGGTACCAAACTGCATCAATTCTGCGGTGTAGATGCATTGTGATAGCTTCCAATGAAAGGCATGGATCTCCAGCTCAAGCACCTGCAAGCCTTCTGCCCGGAGGGGGCGTGGCTTCCTGGAGACCACGCCTCTATGCAAATAAGGGGCGGGGCCTAGACCAGAGTGCTGGCTGCCTTGGCTCTGAAGCCATTCAAAGCCTCCCAGGTCAGGAAGAGAAGCGGGTTTTCAGCCTAAAGCAGAGAAGGAAAGTCCGGATTTTATTCTTCCCAATTACTTTTTCCCTGCGGATATCCATCATGTTCCAGTGGTGAGTTTGCCTTTCCCTTCCCATTATTATTACATTGTCATTTTAGAGAGTTCTCTCTCCTAAAGATGTCTGAATTAGAGTAGACCCATTGGATCCACAGCATTTATTTCCGTGTAAATTTACATTTGAGCATCAGAAGCAGGGAATTGGCTTTGTTTTGGATTCAAACCGGGAGGGGAAAGTAAGTGAGTATCTGACCTCAAAAAAAGTAACTTTTCTAAGCTCTCTAGACAAAAGTTTGGATTTAAGAAAGTACAAAGTTTTATGGGATTCCTAAAGTTTGTTTCAATAAGGAAAAGGAGTTTTGCATTGCTTGTGCCTCCCAGAAAAGTTTGGAAAAGTTACTTTTTAAAAAGTTACTTAAAATACTTTGCATTTTTAATTCAGATTTGAGGATATATTATATTAGTATATGGTTGTGGATGATGGGAGTTGCAATCCAAAATTGCCTGCATTGGTGAAAGATGGATTTATATTATATTATATTATATTATATTATATTATATTATATTATATTATATTATATTATATTATATTATATTATATATGGTTGTGGATGATGGGAATTGTAATCCTAAATACCTGCATTAGGGAAAGATAGATATTATATATTGTTGTGGATGATGGGAATTGTAATCCTAAATACCTGCATTAGGGAAAGATAGATATTATATTATATGTTATTGTGGATGATGGGAGTTGTAATCCTAAATACCAGCGTTAGGGAAAGATAGATATTATATGGTTTTGGATGATGGGAGTTGTAATCCCAAATGCCTGCATTAGGGAAAGATAGATATTATATTATATATTGTTGTGGATAATGGAAATTGTAATCCTTAATACCAGCATTAGGGAAAGATGGATATTATATGTTTGTGGATCATGGGAATTGCAATCCTAAATACCTGCATTAGGGAAAGATAGATATTATATGGTTGTGGATGATGGGAGTTGTAATCCTAAATACCTGCATTAGCGAAAGATAGATATTATATTATATATTACATTATGTGGTTGTGGATGATGGGAGCTGTAATCCTAAATACCAGCATTAAGGAAAGATAGATACTATATTATACGGTATTACATTTTATACTGTGTTATATTATATGGCTGTGGATGATGGAAATTGTAATCCTAAATACCTGCATTAGAGAAAGATGCTATTATATATAATACTAGCTGTGCCCTGCCACGCGTTGCTGTGGCCTATAGTAAAACTTATCAAAGTTGAGGTAGATATCTGGACTATTATGAAAGAGAGGTCCCTACCTATTCCTTCCCCCTTTTCCTCCCCCTTTCTCTCCTTTCTTCCTTCTCTACCTCTTTCTTTCTTTCCTTCTTTCACTACTTGGTTTCATCCTTCTCTCTTTCCTTCATTCCCTCCCCCTTTCTTCCTTTGCCTTTCTTCCCTCCCTGTTTGCTTCCTTCTTTCTCTTTTTATTTCCTTTTATTTCACCACCATCATAACAATAACAATAATGCAATGCATTGCCTCTGGGACCTGACACCTCTCCCATTCCCCCAGGGTCTCATAGGAACAATAGCATAATAATAATAACAGAAATAACAACCTTTACCCGCCACGTGTTGCTGTGGCCAATCTTCCCTCTTTCTCTCCTTCTTTCCCTCCTTCCTTCCTTCCTTCCCTCCCATCTTTCCTTCTCCTCTTCTTTCTCTATCTCTTTCCTTCCTTCCCCCTTTTTCTTTCTTTTCTGCTGTCTCTCTTTTCTTTCCTTCCATCTTTCCTTTTCTTTCCTTTTCTTCTTCCTTCTTCCTCTAACTTTCCTTCCTTCCCCCTTTTTCTTTACCTCCCTTTCTCTTTCTTCCTTCTTTCCTTCCTTCCTGTCTTTCCTAGATTTTGACAGGGCGGGAAGGGGCGGGGTGGGGGTTGGAGGTGGCGTGAAGTAAAAGGAGGTAAGATTGGGGCAGGGGAGTGATGGAGCGTGGGGTTGCGTGTGTGTGTGCGGCGGCGGGGGGAGTGATGGAGCCTGGGGTTACGTGTGTGTGTGCGGCAGAGGGAACGTTGGCCGGAAGGCCATGTGCGCGCGCGATGGAACTTGCGGCTGGGCTCCAATGCGCATGCTCAGTTGTTTTGCCGTTTTGTGAGTGTGGTGTTGTGTTGTTTTTCATTTTGAGTAGATATGTTTGTACCTTGTGGGTTGTGTTATGGGCATGGGAATTTTGGTTAAGTTTCGTTGGGGGTTTTTGAGTTTTGTTGTTTTGCCGTTTTGTGAGTGTGTTGTTGTGTTTTTTTTCATTTTGAGTAGATATGTTTGTACCTTGTGGGTTGTGTTATGGGCATGGGATTTTGGTTAAGTTTCGTTGGGGGATTTTTGAGTTTTGTTGTTTTGCCGTTTTGTGAGTGTGTTGTTGTTGTTTTTCATTTTGAGTAGATATGTTTGTACCTTGTGGGTTGTGTTATGGGCACGGGGATTTTAGTTAAGTTTCGTTGGGGATTTTTGAGTTTTGTTGTTTTGCCGTTTTGTGAGTGTGTTGTTGTGTTGTTTTTCATTTTGAGTAGGTATGTTTGTACCTTGTGGGTTGTGTTATGGGCATGGGGATTTTGGTTAAGTTTCGTTGGGGATTTTTGAGTTTTGTTGTTTTGCCGTTTTGTGAGTGTGTTGTTGTGTTGTTTTTCATTTTGAGTAGATATGTTTGTACCTTGTGGGTTGTGTTATGGGCATGGGAATTTTGGTTAAGTTTCGTTGGGGTTTTTGAGTTTTGTTGTTTTGCCGTTTTGTGAGTGTGTTGTTGTGTTGTTTTTCATTTTGAGTAGATATGTTTGTACCTTGTGGGTTGTGTTATGGGCACGGGGATTTTAGTTAAGTTTCGTTGGGGGATTTTTGAGTTTTGTTGTTTTGCCGTTTTGTGAGTGTGTTGTTGTGTTGTTTTTCATTTTGAGTAGATATGTTTGTACCTTGTGGGTTGTGTTATGGGCACGGGGATTTTGGTTAAGTTTCGTTGGGGATTTTTGAGTTTTGTTGTTTTGCCGTTTTGTGAGTGTGTTGTGTGTTTTTTCATTTTGAGTAGATATGTTTGTACCTTGTGGGTTGTGTTATGGGCATGGGAATTTTGGTTAAGTTTCGTTGGGGTTTTTTTGAGTTTTTTGTTTTGCCGTTTTGTGAGTGTGTTGTTGTGTTGTTTTTCATTTTGAGTAGATATGTTTGTACCTTGTGGGTTGTGTTATGGGCATGGGAATTTTGGTTAAGTTTCGTTGGGGGGTTTTTGAGTTTTGTTTCCTCGTTGGATGCCCCTAATATATAATCTATACAATCTATAATATAATATAATATAATATAATATAATATAATATAATATAATATAATATAATATAATATTTGGTTGTGGATTATGGGAGCTGTAATACTAAATGCATGCATTAGGGAAATATGCAATTATATATTATATTGTATTATATTGTATTATATTATATTATATTATTATATTATATTATATTATATTATATTATATTATATTATATTATATTATATTATATTATATTATATTATATTATATTATATTATATTATTGGGAGTCACCAGTAGCAGTTGTAATCCTACCAGCATTAGGGAAAAATTGATATATATTATATTATATTATATTATATTATATTATATTATATTATATTATATTTTTTGTTGTGGATGATGGGAGTTGCAATCAAAAAATACCGGCATTAGGGAAAGATTGATTTATGTTATGTTATGTTATGTTATGTTATGTTATTATATTATATTATATTATATTATATTATATTATATTATATTTTATGCTAGCCGTCCCCTGCCACGCGTTGCTGTGGCCCAGTCTGGTGATCTGGAAAATAAAGTAATGAGAAAGTGTTGGTTTCTAATATATGTAATTTCTTTATGCTTGTGGGTAAACAGTATTTCTTGCTGTTTCTTTGTCAGTGTTGATGTGGAGATTGTCTGGTTTGCCTACTCTGGAACATGCAACATATATTGTCCTTCTTTAGGGGTCCCTTTCAAATCTATGATACTATATCTCTCTCTGTGTGTGAATCATATCTATCTATCTATCTATCTATCTACCTACCTACCTACCTACCTACCTACCTACCTACCTACCTATCTTTGGCTGGATGGCTCTTTGTCAGGAGGGCTTTGATTATGTTTTCTTGCCCTGGTGAAGGGAGTTAGACTGAATGGCCTTCAGACAGCATTTCTCAACCTGGGGGTCGGGACCCCTGGAGGGGGGTCACAAGGGGGTGTCGGAAGGGTCACCAAAGACCACCAGAAAAAAAACAGTATTTTCTGTTGGTCATGGGGGTTCTGTGTGGGAAGTTTGGCCCAATTCTATCATTGGTAGGGTTCAGAATGCTCTTTGATTGTAGGTGAACTATAAATCCCAGCAACTACAACTCCCAAATGTCAAGGTCTATTTCCTCAAATTCCATCTGTTTTCATATTTGGGCATATTGAGTATTCGTGCCAAGTTTGGTCCAGATCCATCATTGTTTGAGTCCACAGTGCTCTCTGGATGTAGGTGAACTACAACTCCCAAACTCAAGGTCAATATCCACCAAACCCTTCTGGTGTATTCTGTGCATCATGGGTGTTCCGTGTGCCAAGTTTGGTTCAATTCCATCGTTGGTGGATTTCAGAATGTTCTTTGATTGTAGGTGAACTATAAATCCCAGCAACTACAACTCCCAAATGACCAAATCATAATGTCGAAGGCTTTCATGGCCGGAATCACTGGGTTGTTGTAGGTTTTATATATATAAACCCAATTTTCCTAGTTCCAACAGACCTTGCTATCTCTGAGGATGCTTGCCATAGATGCAGGCGAAACGTCAGGAGAGAATGCCTCTAGAACATGGCTATATAGCCCAAAAAACCCTACAACGACCAAATCATATTTTTTGAGTGATTCTCACTCCTTGGGTTAGTAGGTGTTTTGTGGTCAAATTTGGCGGCAATTCGTCCAGCAGATTTTGACTTATGATGTCACTCAAAACGAACAGAGCATTT